CCCCCAGAAAGTTTTACCCCCCCCTTCATGACCAGGCCATTTTTTTACTTAGTTTTTTTTTCTATTTGGCTATTCAGCACTGTGCTACTTTAGAGCTTTCTTTTGGTGGTATTTGATCACCACTGCTTTCTTTTTTTTAATTTGATTTTTTATGATAAATTGGAAAAAGACCAAAATGCTGGAGTAGGTATCAACTGACTACAAGCGTGGTGACATCACAGCACTTGTGCGCCATTGAAAACTATGAGTCCCTCTGCTGTGATGGAACACCCAATGGACTGCAAGTGTGATGACGAGTCCCTCTGCCATGGCAGAACACCCAATGGACTGCAAGTGTGACGACGAGTCCCTCTGCCATGGCAGAACACCCATTGGACTGCAAGTGTGATGACGAGTCCCTCTGCCATGACAGAACACCCAATGGACTGCAAGTGTGATGACGAGTCCCTCTGCCATGACAGAACACCCAATGGACTTCAACTGCAACTTGTGACGACGAGTCCCTCTGCCATGACAGAACACCCAATGGACTGCAAGTGTGATGACGAGTCCCTCTGCCATGACAGAACACCCAATGGACTGCTTTCTTTTTTTTAATTTGATTTTTTATGATAAATTGAAAAAGACCACAAATTCTGGAGTAGGTATCAATTGACTACAAGCGTGGTGACATCACAGCACTTGTGCTTCATTGAAAACTATGAGTCCCTCTGCTGTGATGGAACACCCAATGGACTGCAAGTGTGATGACGAGTCCCTCTGCCATGACAGAACACCCAATGGACTGCAAGTGTGACGACGAGTCCCTCTGCCATGGCAGAACACCCAATGGACTGCAAGTGTGACGACGAGTCCCTCTGCCATGACAGAACACCCAATGGACTGCAAGTGTGATGATAAGTCCCTCTGCCATGGCAGAACACCCAATTGACTTCAAGTGTGGTGACGTCACAGCACTTGTGCTCCATTGAAAACTATGAGTCCCTCTGCCATGACAGAACACCCAATGGACTGCAAGTGTGATGACGAGTCCCTCTGCCATGATAGAACACCCAATGGACTGCAAGTGTGATGACGAGTCCCTCTGCCGTGGCAGAACATCCAATCGACTACAAGTGTGTTGACCTCACAGCACTTGTGCTCCATTGAAAACCGAGTCCCTCTGCCATGGCAGAACACCCAATGGACTGTGAGCATGGTGACATCACAACACTTGTGCTCCATTGAAAGTGAAGAGTCCCTCTGTCGTGGCAGAACACCCAATGGACTGCAAGTGTGATGAAAACGAGTCCCTCTGCCATGGCAGAACACCCAATGGACTGCAAGTGTGCTGACGAGTCCCTCTGCCATGACAGAACACCCAATGGACTGCAAGTGTGATGACGAGTCCTCTGCCATGGCAGAACACCCAATGGACTGCAAGTGTGATGACGAGTCCTTCTGCCATGACAGAACACCCAATGGACTGCAAGTGTGATGACGAGTCCCTCTGCCATGACAGAACACCCAATGGACTGCAAGTGTGATGATGAGTCCCTCTGCCATGACAGAACACCCAATGGACTGCAAGTGTGATGACGAGTCCCTTCTGCCATGACAGAACACCCAATGGACTGCAAGTGTGGTGATGTAACAGCACTTGTGCTCCACTGAAAGTGAAGAGTCCCTCTGCCATGGCAGAATATCCAATAGACTTCAAGTGTGGTGACATCACAGCACTTGTGCTCCATTGAAAACTATGAGTCCCTCTGCTGTGACAGAACACCAATGGACTGCAAGTATGATGACGAGTCCCTCTGCTGTGGCAGAACATCCAATGGACTACAAGCATGGTGATGTCACAACACTTGTGATGTGGCAGAATGCCCAATGGACTACAAGTGTGGTGTGTCACAGTACCATTGAAAACTATAAATCCCTCTGCCTTGGCAGAATGCCCAATGGACTACAAGTGTGGTGATGTCACAGTACTTGTGCTCCATTGAAAACGATAAGTCCCTCTGCCTTGGCAGAATGCCCAATGGACTACAAGTGTGCACTTGTGCTCCAATTAATTCATTGGGCATTCTGCCACAACAGAGAGACTTATGATTTTCAATCAAGCACAAGTGCTGTGACGTCATCACGCTTGTAGTCCATTATCTACTCTGCCATGAAGAATGGGAGAATCGGGCATGGAGAGGGGGGAGGAGTAATTGTCTCTATCGGGTTCATTTGTCACAGAGGCGATTGGGAAATGGATGTTCCTCCATCTTCTCTGTGGGAAGCTGTCCCCACTGTTTACCGTAGTCCTGACTTCCAAGGAGAACTGGAGAGCCCAGGTGTTGAGTGGGGCATCTTTGCTTCTGGGTTCATTCATCTCAAAGGAGACAAGGAACCATCCCAACTGTTACCATGGTCCTGAAATCCAAGGAGAACTAGGAGAGCCCGGGTGTTGGGGGGCATCTTTGCTTCTGGGTTCATTCATCTCAAAGGAGACGGGGAGCCATCCCAACTATTTACCATGGTCCTGAAATCCAAGGAGAACTGGGAGAGCCCAGGTGTTGGGTGGCATCTTTGCTTCCAGGTTCATTCATCTCAAAGGAGACGGGGAGCCATCCAACTGTTTACTGTGGTCCTGACTTCCAAGGAGAAACTGGGAGAGCCCGGGTGTTGGGGGGGAGGGCATCTTTGCTTCTGGGTTCATTCATCTCAAAGGAGACGGGGAACCATCCCAACTGTCTACCATGGTCCTGAAATCCAAGAGAATCTGGGAGAGCCTGGGGTGTTGGGGGCATCTTTGCTTCCGGGTTCATTCATCTCAAAGGAGTTGGGGAGCCATCCCAACTGTTTACAGTGGTCCTGAAATCCAAGGAGAACTGGGAGAGCCCAGGTGTTGAGGGGGCATCTTTGCTTCTGGGTTCATTCATCTCAAAGGAGACGGGGAGCCATCCAACTGTTTACCATGGTCCTGAAATCCAAGAGAGAACTGGGAGAGCCCGGGTGTTGGGTGGCATCTTTGCTTCCGGGTTCATTCATCTCAAAGGAGACGGGGAGCCATCCCAACTGTTTATCGTGGTCCTGAAATCCAAGGAGAACTGGGAGAGCCCAGGTGTTGAGGGGGCATCTTTGCTTCTGGGTTCATTCATCTCAAAGGAGACGGGGAGCCATCCAACTGTTTACCATGGTCCTGAAATCCAAGGAGAACTGGGAGAGCCCGAGTGTTTTGGGGGCATCTTTGCTTTCGGGTTCATTCATCTCAAAGAAGAAGAGGAGCCATCCCAACTGTTTACAATGGTCCTGAAATCCAAGGAGAACTGGGAGAGCCCAGGTGTTGGGGGGGGGCATCTTTGCTTCCGGGTTCATTCATCTCAAAGGAGACGGGGAGCCATCCCAACTGTTTATCGTGGTCCTGAAATCCAAGGAGAAGAGCCCAGGTGTTGAGGGGGCATCTTTGCTTCTGGGTTCATTCATCTCAAAGGAGACGGGGAGCCATCCAACTGTTTACCATGGTCCTGAAATCCAAGGAGAACTGGGAGAGCCCGAGTGTTTTGGGGGCATCTTTGCTTTCGGGTTCATTCATCTCAAAGAAGAAGAGGAGCCATCCCAACTGTTTACAATGGTCCTGAAATCCAAGGAGAACTGGGAGAGCCCAGGTGTTGGGGGGGGGCATCTTTGCTTCCGGGTTCATTCATCTCAAAGGAGACGGGGAGCCATCCCAACTGTTTACTGTGGTCCTGAAATCAAGGAGAACTGGGAGAGCCCGGGTGTTGGGGGGCATCTTTGCTTCCGGGTTCATTCATCTCAAAGGAGACGGGGAGCCATTTAACTGTTTACCATGGTCCTGAATGGGAGAGCCCAGGTATGTGGGGGGGGGGGGTGCGTTTGCAGCGCCGTAAGAGATCAACTGGCTGAAAAACATCTACAACTATGATCCTGGTACAGCCATTTGCTCACAGGACCATTTTTTTTTTTTTACGCACGTCGGTTAATTTTTTTCTACTTTCATCTTTTTTTTTTTATCCCCTCAATTTTAATTCAATTTAATTTTTCATTTAATTTTTTGTTTTTAAGATTTTATTTTTAAAACGTATTTATTATTTTTAAGTAAAAATGTTAAAATGTCCTTTTTATCCGCCCAAATCTTCTCCCACCGAACGGCTTTTGTAAGTGGAGCCGAAATGAAGCGGCGGCTCCCGAATCGCAGAATTCTGTTCCTCGGCTTAGGTAAATTAGGCCCCCGCCGCTCACGCCGTTCACGCCTCATTACTCTCGCCGTATTACACATTCAGCAGGTGAAGTCTTGTTTCTATTGCGCGGATTCTGCAGCGAGCGGGAATAATGAGTTTATAAAGTGATTTATGTTTACTAAAATGATTTATGCGTTTTCTTGGCGTATTTGGAGCCGTCTGTGATCCCGTCCCACCGCTGATAATAACCGTTAACCGTTTCCTGCGCTCCTCTAGGCGGGTTCTGACGGGTTCGTTCCCCTCACAAGGATACAATGGCATCAGATATACCCCCCCTCCCCTCCCCCCCCATTACCGCCAGCCGCTCGCCAATAACCGTTTTCTTTTTTTTTTTAAGTTATTTTATTTTTTTTTTTACCTTTTTTTTTTTCTACAAATAAGCAGGTTACTTATGTGTAAAATATGTATCTTTTTTTTTTTTCCTGTAACCCTGAAGAATGGAGAAGCGGTTCCCATAAGATGCATCGGATTTTCTTGCTCCTCTATATCAATCATTTGGACCAGAATTACTGAAGCGAAGTGAACTTTTCAACCGGGCGCTCCTCAACACCGACCCCGTAGCTCTACGCCTACTGTATGCCGTCTTTTGAGACTAGCAGCCCACAAGTTCCAGCTGGAGAGGAAAAGCGCTAGATGACGCTGGACGTCCTCCAGCTAGGAAATGAAGCGGAGCTCTGTCTGACTTGCTGCAGCTTCCAATGCACATTGTGAGACGCTCCCAGTGTGCAGTGACATCAGAGGAAGGTGCTTCAGTTCAGGGGAGGAGCCGGTACACCTGTGCAAGACTGGAGGGGAGGAGCCGATACACCTGTGCAAGACTGGAGGGGAGGAGCCGGTACACCTGTGCAAGACAGAAGGGGAGGAGCAGGTACACCTGTGCAAGACTGAAGGGGAGGAGCAGGTACATCTGTGCAAGACTGAAGGGGAGGAGCTGGTACACCTGTGCAAGACTGAAAGGGGAGGAGCCAGAACACCTGTGCAAGACTGAAGGGGAGGAGCAGGTACATCTGTGCAAGACTGAAGGGGAGGGCCGCTACACCTGGAGCTGAAGGGGAGGAGCCGGTACACCTGTGCAAGACTGAGGGGAGGAGGACCTGTACCGGCAGGTACACCTGTGCAAGACTGAAGGGGAGGAGCTGTGTACGGTACACCTGTGCAAGACTGGAGGGGAGGAGCCGATACACCTGTGCAAGACTGAAAGGGAGGAAGCAGGTACACCTGTGACTGAAGGGGAGGCTGAACCTGTGCAAGTCTGAAGGGGAGGAGCCGGTACACCTGTGCAAACTGAAGGGGAGGAGCCGTACACCTGTGCAAGACTGAAGGGGAGGAGCCGGTACACCTGTACAAGACTGTGCTAGGACTGAAGGGAGGAGCAGGTACACCTGTGCAAAACTGAAGGGGAGGAGCCGGTACACCTGTGCAAGACTGAAGGGGAGGAGCCGGTACACCTGTGCAAGACTGAAGGGGAGGAGCAGGTACACCTGTGCAGCCGACTGCAAAACTGGGGAGGAGCAGGTACACCTGTGCAAGATTGAAGGGGAGGAGCCGGTAAACCTGTGCAAGACTGAAGGGGAGGAGCTAATAAACCTGTGCAAGATTGAAGGGGAGGAGCTGGTAACCTGTGCAAGACTGAAGGGGAGGAGCCGGTAAACCTGTGCAAGACTGAAGGGGGAGCTGGAGCCAGAGGAGCCGGTACACCTGTACAAGACTGAAGGGGAGGAGCCAGAACACCTGTGCAAGACTGAAGGGGAGGAGCCGGTACACCTGTGCAAGACTGAAGTCCAACCATTATGCACAATCCGCAGATCCGATCCATTCTGCGGGGATCATGGGAGGGGGTGTCACCAAGTGTTAATGCACCGGGTGACACCAACCCTAGGGACGCCACTGCATTACATTCTAAGAAAGCTCCACCTTTTATCATTAAAAAGCTGTCCTCCAGTTCAGCTACTTTGCCTAGGCTGATATGATGTCATCAGTCTGCTGCAGGAGGGAGGAAGCATGTCCTTAGCCTCCCCACCCCAGTGATCAGACTGAAGCTTTGTAACTTTGAATGAATCAATTCTTTCTTGAGGTGTTGCTATATGAAGCAGCAGTATTGACCCCTGCTTGCCACCTGCCAAGACATACATATAGACTTGACTACTCTCTTGTATGCCTGCCAAGACCCCTGCTTGGACCTGACTAGACCTCCGCATGGACCTGACTATCCTCTTGTATGCCTGCCAAGACCTCTGCTTGGACCTGACTATGCTCTTGCTTGCCACCTGCCTAGACCTCCTTATGGGCCTGACAACTCTTTTGCTTGCCACCTGCCATGACCCCTGCATGGATGACTATTTTCTTGCATGCCACCTGTCTAGACCTCTGTATGGACCTGACCACTCTCTTGCATGCCACCTGCCTAGATCTTTGTATGGACCTGACTACTCTCTTGCTTGCCACCTGCTGCTTAGACCTCTGTATGGACCTGACCACTCTCTTGCATGCCACCTGCCTAGATCTTTGTATGGACCTGACTACTCTCTTGCTTGCCACCCTTCTCTGTATGGACTCTGTACTCTCTTGCTTGCCACCTGCCTAGACCTCTGTATGGACCTGACCACTCTCTTGCTTGCCACCTGCCTAGACCTCTGTATGAACCTGACTACTCCCTTGCATGACACCTGCCTAGATCTCTGTATGGAACCTGACCACTCTCTTGCTTGCCACCTGCCTAGACCTCTGTATGAACCTGACTACTCCCTTGCATGACACCTGCCTAGACCTCTGTATGAACCTGACTACTCTCTTGCTTGCCACCTGCCTAGACCTCTGTATGGACCTGACCACTCTATTGCTTGCCACCTGCCTAGACCTTTGTATGGACCTGACTACTCTCTTGCTTGCCACCTGCCTAGACCTCTGTATGAACCTGACTACTCTCCTGCATGCCACCTTCTTGAACCTGATTATTCTCTTGAGTGCCACCTGCCAAGACCCCTGCTTGGACCTAACTAGGCTCTTACTTGCCACCTTTCTAGACCTCTGCTTGGACCTGATTACTCTCTGGCCTGCCAACTGCTATGACCCTGCCTGGACTTGACTACTCTCTTGTCTACAGTCACCTAAACAGTCTCTGCACTGTAGACCTTCTGCTCCTGCCACCCCCCCTCCCAGGACAATCTTGAGGGTTGAGACCTGGTGCTAGTTTGCAGCAAAGGCAAATGGGACTCTTAGGGTCTCCAGCCTATCTCCAACATCAGGTGTTCTGGTGAAGACCAACTGGTCCTGAACTTTGTGTCTCAGGTGAGCCAGCATCACCTGCAAGATGGCACCATAACAGCTGTACATAACCTGTGCTGGGAGTAGAACTATGGGAGGAGCTCAACAGTCTCCACCCACTATGGGCTGCCTACAGAAAACTACAGAGGGGGCGGAGAAAAGACCATCCACTCTGCACAAGGAGAGAGAGCAGAGCTGTGGGAGGGACCCAGCAGGCTCCACCTACTACAGAAAACTACAGAAGGGGGCGGAGACAAGACCGGTCACCCCGCACAAGGAGAGAGAGCAGAGCTGTGGAAGGGTCCCAACAGGCTCCACCTACTTCAGAAAACTACAGGAGGGGGCAGAGACAAGACCAGTCACCCTGCACAAGGAGAGAGAGCAGAGCTGTGGGAGGGACCCAGCAGGCTCCACCCACTACAGAAAACTACAGTAGGGGGTGGAGACAAGACCGGTCACCCCGCACAAGGATCACCCCGCACAAGGAGAGAGAGCAGAGCTGTGGGAGGGTCCCAACAGGCTCCACCTACTTCAGAAAACTATAGGAGGAGATTGGAGAAATGATGGGTCACCCTGCATAAGGAGAGAGAGCAGAGCTGTGGGAGGAACCCAACAGGCTCCACCTACTAGAGAAAACTACAGAAGGGGGCGGAGACAAGACTGGTCACCCTGCATAAGGAGAGAGAGCAGAGCTGTGGGAGGAACCCAACAGGCTCCACCTACTTCAGAAAACTACAGGAGGGGGCGGAGACAAGACCAGTCACTCTGCACAAGGAGAGAGAGCAGAGCTGTGGGAGGGACCCAGCAGGCTCCACCTACTACAGAAAAATACAGAAGGGGCGGAGACAAGACCGGTCACCCCGCACAAGGAGAGAAAAGCAGAGCTGTGGGAGGGTCCCAACAGGCTCCACCTACTTCAGAAAACTATAGGAGGATATCGGAGACATGACGGGTCACCCTGCACAAGGAGAGCAGAGCTGTGGGAGGGACCCAGCAAGCTCCACCTACTACAGAAAACTACAGGAGGGGGTGGAGACAAGACCGGTCACCCTGCACAAGGAGAGAGAACAGAGCTGTGGGAGGAACCCAACAGGCTCCACCTACTACAGAAAACTACAGAAGGGGGCAGACCGGTCACCCCGCACAAGGATAGAGAGCAGAGCTGTGGGAGGAACCCAACAGGGGCTCCACCTACTACAGAAAACTACAGGAGGGGGCGGAGACAAGACCGGTCACCCTGCACAAGGAGAGAGAGAGCAGAGCTGTGGGAGGGGCCAGAAGGCTCCACCCCTAACAGGCTACCTGCAGAAAGTTACAGGAGGGGGGCAGAAAACTACAGGTGGGGTGACAAGACTGGTCACCCTTCACAAGCAGAGGGGGCAGTAGTGACCAGTCTTTACTACAGGAAGTCTCACACTGGACTACTATCCAAATCTGGAAGAAATATACAAAGTACACCGAGATTCAAGGAAATATACACAATTCTTGTATTCAGACCAAATCATTTTTTGGAAGCTAGATCAGAACCACGAATAACCCCGAGACATTTCACCAAAGATTGTTTCATTCTACCACCGCGACCACAAATGGTTCCCATGGGAATCCCAAGGATGCTGGGTAGTATCAGCGAAGTAATGATGCAGTTGGACCTCCTTCCATCTATTCTGAATCACTCAGTGATTCACATCAAATCTTCTTGTTAATGGCTTTACTTGATGTGAGGGAATCATAGGACTGTTTACTCAAGTTATCATTTTTCTGACAAGATCCACAAAAATGAAATTGTTCCCGGGGGGATTAAGGGACACTTTGAAATATAGGCCGGAGCTGCCAAACTCTGCTAAGTGTGAGATTTAACGACTCCGCATGAAGAAAAAATGTTTTTAATGTGTCTGGGAGGAATGTGGATACTGTATGGTTCCAGTTAGTGAATGCCACTGACTCACATGGAAGGAAATGTTCATTGTAGATTTCCCGATAACACGGGTGTAGTGGTTGTTAGTGGTAATAGATCTGGGGGACATTATCCTCCAAGGTAGTCACATTAGTAATGGGTCATAATAGAGATTAACAATGCTTCAAAATAGCTTCTAATTGGATGTAAGGGCTGTCAGTGTTCCTTCCGTTACTTTCATGACCAGTTTTGTTAGATCACAGATACGGCTGTAGCTTGGCCTGAGGCTGTGTTGGTAAGCAAAGAAGAGATATCGGGAAAAGGGTACGGCTTGTGTCTATGATGTCATGTAAGATAATCAGATTTTTGAAGGCTCTTTTCTTTGTAGAGGAATAGAGGAAGCCTTTCCGCAGCTGTCACCATTGTCTGGAAAAACATAGAAAAAGATTTCCCGTCCAACTAACAAGGAAATGTACACATAGGTCTGCGAAGGTTCTCATTTATCCGGGTCATGGTATATCTAGTAGTGGTTGGTCATGTCATCTGGACTTGTTCTGTAATGTTGAAGATGTTTTGGAGTTTCTTCAAGCCACTTCTTTAGTTCTAATGAGTGTTTGGAAAACTGTAGGTTGTCACTTATCCAGATCATGGTATATCTAGTAGTGGTTGGTCATATCATCTTATCCAGATCATGGTATATCTAGTAGTAGTTAGTTACTCATATCTAGTAGTAGTTACTCTTATCCAGATCATGGTATATCTAGTAGTAGTTACTCATATCATCTTATCCAGATCATGGTATATCTAGTAGTGGTCACTCATATCATCTTATCCAGATCATGGTATATCTAGTAGTGGTTGGTCATATCATCTTATCCAGATCATGGTATATCTAGTAGTGGTTGGTCATATCATCTTATCCAGATCATGGTATTTCTAGTAGTAGTCACTCATATCATCTTATCCAGATCATGGTATATCTAGTAGTGGTTGGTCATATCATCTTATCCAGATCATGGTATTTCTAGTAGTGGTTGGTCATGTCATCTGGACTTCTGTGATGTTGAAGATGTTTTAGAGTTTCTCCAATCCAGTTTTTCAGTTCTAATGAGTGTTTGGAAAATTGAAGGTTGTCACTTATCCAGATCATGGTATATCTAGTAGTAGAACCTCACTTTCGACTGGACTTCTTCTGTAATGTTGAAGATGTTTTGCAGTTTCTCCAAGCCACTTCTTTAGTTCTAATGAGTGTTCGGAAAATTGAAGGTTGTCATTTATCCAGATTATGGTATATATAGTAGTAGAACCTCACGTTCGACTGGTCTTTTTCTGTAATGTTGAACATGTTTTGTAGTTTCTCCAAGCCAGTTTTTCAGTTCCAATGAGTGTTCGGAAAATTGAAGGGTGTCATTTATCCAGATCATGGTATATCTAGTAGTAGTTACTCATATCATCTTATCCAGATCATGGTATATCTAGTAGTAGAACCTCACTTTCGACTGGACTTCTTCTGTAATGTTGAAGATGTTTTGTAATTTCTCCAAGCCACTTTTTCAGTTCTAATGAGTGTTCGGAAAATTGAAGGTTGTCATTTATCCAGATCATGGTATATCTAGT